TCCAATTTCCTCATCCATTAATCATCTGACGGCCCCTCAGATTTATCTGATGTCTGAGTTTATGAGACAATGGATAAAGTTAAACTTTAAGCTGAAACACAAAAAAAAGTAATTCTCCCCTAAACCTAATAACTGGCTGGGCCACCCTCAGCAGCAACAACTGAAATCAAGCATTTTCTATAACTGGCAATAAGTCACATCTCTGTGGAGATATTTTGGGTCCCTCTTCTTTGCACAACTGTTTTCATTCTGGAGGGTTTTCAAGCATGAACAGCCTTTTTAAGGTCACGCCACAGCATTTCAATCGGATTCAAGTCCAGACTTTGACTAGGCCACTCCAAAACCTTCAATATGTTTTTTTTTTTTAAGCCATTCAGAAGGCTGGTGTACTTCACAAAATAGATGACATCAGTTTAAAGGCAATGCTCCTATGGAAATGTATGTAAACTGCTGACTTTGAAGAAAGTACCAAAAATTCTCTGGAAAATTCTCTGTCTCATTATTCTAGCATTTAGCAAATAGAAATAATTTTGGTAATCCTAACTGACGGAAAACAGGAAAAGTTTAGTCACATTTAATGTCAGACAGTGAGAAAAAAAAAAAGGTTATATCTTTTTACACAGTGTATGTAAACTTTTGGGTTCAGTGTATATGGATGCAAACTGGACTCATAAGAAAGACAGTCACGGTAGATATGAATGTTTTGGGCGATAACATCATGACAAAAAAGGTTTTGTTTCATGTCATTCGTTGCACCACCTCCAGCAGCAATCAGCCATGTTTGTCATATTTAAAGCTGAGCTATGAGTCCCACACTGGAGCCATGTGTCTAGTGCCCGTGCCAAATGAACTCCATTAGTGCCAGATCAGCCTGCTCTCTGGGAACAATATCCATATGTACTCACATTCGTGCATATGCATTCTAGTAATGATGAGCCAGTCACAGCTTGCTACTTGTGCGTAGTTTAATATTAGGCTTTGTGTCTGAGCAGTTGTATCGTGTGTGACCAACACCAGACTTCTGTCCTGCTAGAGAGAGCAGTGCTGCTCTCTGTGGGACAAACCATTCAACTACATTTATCATGTTTGTGAAGTGAGAACATACAGATACTGGACTGATGGAAAACCCAGTGAGAACAAAATAACATACCACATTATTGAAATATTTCTTTATTCCTCTCTTTCTCTCTCTCATTTAACTTATCTGAAAAGGTGACAGTCCTAATGTTGGCAATCTTTCTCAATGCAATGATCTGTCAGCCTTCCCATTCTTTTTGACTCTATCCCTCTGGATGCAGATCCATCATCTATACACTGCTTAATCCTCATTAGGGTCACGGAGGGGCTGGAGCCGACTTAGGGCGAAGGTAGGGGACACCCTGGACAGGTCACCAGTCCATCGCAGGGCCACGTAGACAACCAAGCACACTCACATTCACACTTACGGACAATTTAGAATCACCAATTAACCTCAACATGTTTTTGGACTGTGTGGGAGGAAGCCGGAGAACCCGGAGAGAACCCACGCTGCACAGGGAGAACATGCAAACTCCACACAGAAAGATCCCAGTGCCCCCACCGGGACATGAACCGGCGACCTTCTTGCTGCGAGGCAACAGTGCTAACTACAGGAAGGCATAAAGTCCAACTGTAATGAGACAGCCAGCTTCTGTTGCAAGCTACCGTTCAAGATGGTGGAGTTGGAGTCTGTCTGGGAAAAACGAGACAGGGAAGGCCTTGGGTAGTTTATTTAGCAGCAGTTGCATTTTAAAATTAGAATACATATGTATAGCACCTTTAATCAGCCATTAAGTACGCCACAGTTCCAGTCCACCCCCTACAGCGATTCTCAACCACTCTCACTCAGTTTGTGTGTTCATGTGGAGGGTCCACCCTGACTTAGGTGGGAGTGGGCTAAAAAGCCCTCCGACACTGACTCTGCATTGATTGACACTTCCTAACGGCATTCCTCACAAGTTTTTCCACTTCTAGAATAGAGGAAACGCTACACCCTTATAAATAGGTCATGTGTGTACTGATTTGAGAAGGATTGCCTCAGGAAGGATAAATAATAATAATAAAATAATAATAATGGCTTTTGTGAAAATATGAATAAAGATGTTGCAGTGGGGGCTGCAAGGTGACTCGGTGGTTAGCACAGTTGCCTCGCAGCTAGAAGATCACCAATTCGCATCCTGGTGAGAACACCTGGGATCTTTCTGCAGTTTGCATGTTCTCCCCGTGCAGCGTGGGTTCTCTCCAGGTTCTCCGGCTTCCTCCCACAGTCCAAAAAATGCTGAGGCGACCATAGTGAGGGTTAAGCGTTGTATAGATAATAGATAGATGGATGGATGTTGCAGTGGTGGGTATTGATATTTGCAGCTAGAATCTATAAAGAAATGTGTTGTTGCATTCAGTAGAAAGAATTACATGTTTTGCCAGGGGCACAAAGCAGAGATCTCTTTGCTTTAACCATTTGCTTTCAGAATAATAACCTGTGGGGCTTTTTCTGTAAGAACATGAACAAAGATAAGAATGAAGAAAAGAGAGAGGACATTGGAAAAATGTTTTAAATCCCCCAAATGATACAATAGCTCGAAAGGGCCCTGATTGAAGGTGTGTGCAAAGAACACCGACTGTTCTAATAACTATTAATGTCATCAAAACCCAGCTATTACTTTGACTCACACAGATTTGAAATGTATTTGATTAATGTCTGAATTAATTTCATAATGTCAAGCAATGATGTATTTCATGTGCCACTGAATGTATTGTCTTTCTCACCTGATGTAGGCTGTGAGTATAAACCTACCACTGATCACACATTTATGCAGCTTTATCCTCCCGACATGTTACCATTTTCAAAATCCCCTTTGCTACAGGAAACAACAACAAAAATCTCCGTGCAGCAACCCATCAAACTTACAAGTTAAAATTTTGCCAAGGATTTGGGTTGTGTAGTAAGATGCCCTTGCTTGTGACTTTTTAGGCTGTTGAATGGCAGTGTTCACCTTGATGCATGCAAATGTTCCACCAAAACAATTCCTCCTGTCACGATTTTAAGCATTACTACATCCTTGAAGTAGCTCTGCCAAAAAACACTAAATAAAAACAAACAAGAATTTTTTTACCCCCTTATAGCAGAATGATGTGTGGCATTTGGAGACTATTCACCAGCTAATCACACAACGTCTCTCTGTACCTGCATTAACACCTGCTGATGTCCTTTTTGCTGCCCACAACTGGTCTCTTTCTTTTGATTTAAATACGTACTTGAGGCATCACACCGCCACACTGTGAATCATTTTAGACTTATTGATCTTAGAACGACAGGCTCCTCTGTTACATTTAAGATGTGAGTTAACTGCACTTCAGTTGATTTTTAAGTCAAAGTCATCTAATGAGTTGTGAAAATGTAAAATTAGCAGAGTTAGATTAAGTAAACTTAAGAAAACAAGTATGATGCATTTAAGAAAATAAGTTGAGTCAACTAGTTAGAGACAGACTTGCTTTCCTTTTACATTTTAGTTTCAATAGTTTCTTCAGAGTTAGTACATAGAGAACCTGTGAAGCCGCTCTCGGGTACAATTAAATAAATACATGTATACAGGTGTAGGGGCTGAATTCAACGCCAACATTAGACAGGACGTATGTTGCATTTGTTTCTCATAAACTGAATTTAATGAGTTGAGTGAACTCTTAGCATACTTCATTTAAGTCATCATTTTAAGCCAGAATACCTCAAGTTATAAGAACTTAGGTTTTTAATTTTTCAACTAAAAATCTGGAAATAAAACAACATTTCATTTAACTAGAAATGAACAAAACTAATATATTCACATTAAGTCAACACAGGAATATGAGTTGATTTGACTAAATGTCTCTGTGATGTTTTACAGTGCAGAAATGAGAAATGCTTCTCTAAATTGGGTGTGATGTGTGCATTTACACACGTGGCACAGCGGCGGTAACACATTACCATTTCATTATCTGAATGTAAATGATATTCTGTGTCCCTCTACACGTCTGACAGAGCTGCTGTTCCACACATATCGCAGGTTTATATGGTGAAATTATTTGAATTAAAGCTTCTCTGCATGAATCCTGAGCTGTCTGTACATTCTGATTAAGATGAGCTCGCCATAAGCACAAAATGTTTTATTTATACTACGGGACTGGAGTAATGGAGGTGAGCTTTTTTTTTTTTTTTTAGAAGCTTAAATAAGCCTGAAACCCCTCTGAGTGATTACACCCTTATCTATTTAAGTCTCCAAGATGGGAAAAACACAATATCTCTTCATTTTTAGGTCTCTTCTGGGAGACTGAGACATTATAAAGGTACATTAAACTGATTTACAGTCGTCATCAAATGCATTCATACCCTCCCATTAAAGAAGGAAAAAAAACAGCTGTCACTGAAATAAGTTGAACTTGATAAAAGTAACAATAAATACAAATTTAATGAAAATCATGACATTGCTTTTGAATTGTGGTTCAACAGAAATATAACAAAATAAAAAACAAACAAAAAAACACAAGCAAATAAGCATGATGTAAACTAAAAGTTTGTTGAACAACCCTTTGAGCCAATCACTGCAATCAAGTGTTTTCTGTAACTCTCAGTCAGACTTCTGCACCTGTTGACAGGTATTTTGATTTTGACCCAAGGCTCATCAGCAAAGTGCTCTCATTTGACCGGACATTTCTTTTTTCTTTTCTTTTTTTTTTTTTTTAAATTATTCTTTTCAAATACAATTCAAAAGCAATGTCAAATCATAATTTAGCATTTTTTTTTAAATATTATTTTTTTCAGTTTCTCGTTATTTGAGTGACTATTGTGAATTTTGCCTTTTTGTTCTTTTTCTTTTTTTTCCCCCAATTTTACACTCCGGTCCAGTTGGTGGCGGTACGAACAGCTCCATGTTGGTTTGTAGTCCACAAATTCTCGCGATACTACCCTCGTCTCATTTGAGCTCAACTGGAGGGATTTCTGTTGTGGTGCTGAATGCTGCTAACACGCTAGCAGAGCAGAGATAAACTTATCTGCAACTAACCTGCTCCTCTTTACTGACAAGATAGTTCCAAGGTGAGGACTTGTGCTTCTGAGCAACTCCTTTGCTAAAGCTTTTAAACTTGTTAGCTCTGTGGCGCGTTTGAAACGGCTGTAGAAACACTGTGAGTGTAAATTGTGGTGACAGTTTAGCTAACTAACTTAAACACATGACAGAAGCGACAAAAGTGGCCTAACGTAGCGACTAACAGAACAGTTAGCTTTTGTTTAGCTGCTAGGTTAGTTTGCTTAATTTGTTGTGCTAATTGTGCCAGGAGGAAGGAGGTCAATGTCACTTAGCTGTCTTTTTATGCGTCTAGCGAACAGCTAACGTGGCTTCTTTGCTTTTCATAACGTGAATGTGCTAAACCTGAACTGGGCAAAGTTATAATACATTTCTACACATGTAGAGCTTTAAAATAGTGCAATGTGCAATTTGGAGTTTTCCCACTGGGACTAACGGATGTCTATATATCTAACTTAAACCCACACAGATGACTGCACTTTTGTGGTACAGCAATAAGGTTGTGTTTGCATTGCCGCACTGTAGTGTACTGACTTTTGCTCATGCTATGGATGCGTCCTTAGTGCACGGCAGCGCCAGTGACTCTCAGAATGGATCTGGAAGATGACACCACAGTGTTAACAACCTTGAAGTCCTTCAATTCCTTCATCAGCCGCTCTGAAAATCCACAGCGGCTGTCAGAGCCCTCAGCAGGGAGTGGAAACCTGCAGAGTCAGTACAAGCGCAGCTTGGAGGTATACGGAAACTGTCAACATCAACAGCAAGCTGAGTAAAAGCAGCATCAACATTCAGCCTCTGCACTGACTTACTTGTCCTCCTTTTTTTAGCTTTTGGAAGCAGCAGAGAGAGTTCAGTCTAAGAATCGGTACCTGCAGTTGGACCAGGAGAAGAAACAAATGGAGCTGAGTCACAAGCGAGCTCGTTTTGAACTTGAGAAGGCAGCTTCTGACAGCGCACGAGACTTGGAGGTACAGGTCACATGTCTTTACACATTCGTACGGTGCAATGTAAGGTAATGATGAGGAGCTGTAGTTTTAAGTTTCTGCTGGGGATTCACAGTAATGGGGGAGAAAAATGGCATTTTCATGTTTTTTATTTCTGTGATTTGAAAAATTACTGACTTTAATCACTGTAGTGGCTTCGATGGAATTGGTCAAACAAATAGGTTGTTGTGCCTTGCGTAGTGGCGGTAATTGCAAGACACTGCCAACAGAGTAGTTGTTTTTCCTCCACGTCACCCTTCCAGTAACCAAACTGTTTCCATAGATCTGGTTTCTTCTCTGTTTCTCCTTCATTTTGCTGTAAACATGTGGAGCCTGCATGTCGGCAAACTCCATGTCTTGTGAATAAAATTGAGAAAAGAACAACAACTTAGTATCATGTCAAACAGACTTCTCTTATAGACTAGTCACAGAAAATGACACTTGGGAATTTTCTTTTTTTTTTTTTTGTCATGCAGTAAATACAAGTTGTAGCGTGATGTGTTGCCTGATTTCCTTATTGCACGTCTTGCGAGTTGGCTATTTTAATGTGCCCGTCATGATCTTGGCGCTGAAACAATATATTGTGCAGCTCCAGTTACTGAGCACAGTTTATCCAAAGCACTCCCTCATCTAGAGAATCCCACGTGAACAAGGTTGTTCCTGCATAGAGCTGCCACAAAGAGGTTTTAGCCAACACCAAAGGAAAATCCCCTTGCAATTTTTGGATTAGTTTGGATGTTTGGAATTTTATTTTCAGAAATAACCAGAAAAAGTCTGTCAAATTTCATGACCCAGACTCATTGTCTTACTGCATGCTGACCAGTCATACATAGTCAACACTCCCCAAAGGCAGATTCTGAGCTGGACAAACCCTGATGAACTCAACCTGGAGGAAACAGTGAATAAAATCTGTTCTCAACTTTTTATGTTACAGCATGAGGTGGACCGAAATCAGGAACTTTTGGGACGGATAAAAAAGTTGGAGGAGAGAGAGACAGAAACGACCAAGAATCTGTCGGATCAGATGGAGGCAAATCGTGCTCTCCGTAAGAACCTGGAGGGTCTGAACAAGAAACTGGAGGAGCGAGATACCAAACTGAATACAGCTAATCAGGTAGACACACAGACTTGGTTTGAAACTCTGGTCATGTCTTTTAGCTTATGTTGGCTTACTTCTGTAATCTCTTCCCAGACCATCAGTTCTTTGAAGGATGAGATCAGAGAGCTGAAGCAGACGATTCAAAATCAAGACTTGACAATTTCTACTCAAACCCTGGAAAACCAGGAGCTGCAGGAACAGCTCGATTTACAACGCAGGTGCAGACACATAGGAGCTACCATACACTTGCTGTGTTTAATGCTAATGGATATTGAGCCATACTGCTTAAGATAAATGCTGACCGCACACTTCTGTCTCATCTGTATTATCATCAGGAAGTATCAGGAAGTCTCCCAACTTTGCCAAAGTCTCCAAGCTGCCCAGTCCTCTTGCTCAGAGCACATCATCAAGATTAAGGTATGTTGCGCTTACACACAGTTGATGCTACTTTTGGACGCTGTCTGATCTCATTTAACAGTGTTTGTGCACGGAGGACCAATCTGTCTGCCATGAACCTGATGATTTTGTTACAGCTTTGATGTGGCCACTGAAATGTAATTTTCAGTATCCTCGACTCAAAGTAAGCACTGAGCATTAGCCTTCTGTCACAGCAAGAATGCTCTGGGTTAAAATTTACTGATTGCAACCTTCTGTGTGTAGTTTGCATGTACCAAATATTAGATATCTGTAGGTATTGTGTGAACGTGGATGGTCATCTGTGTGTGTGTGGCAGCTTGTCCAGAATGTATCCTGCCTCTCGTATAAACATGGCCCGTTGTAACTCTCTGCAGGAAAATGTGTATAGCTAATAGGTGGATGGCCAGATTGAACAGCAGGTGCCCAAGAATCAATGCTTGTAGGACTCCTTATGTCATGGTGGTTGTTTTAGATCCATAATTACTGATGCTGACTACATGCCCCCTGCCTTCTAAAAATAATCTGAACCACATGAGGACTACTCCTGATACATGGATGTGCAAGACAGCAAGAAAAAGTAGGAAACAGAAGCCAAATCAAATAGAGTGCCAAATGTAGCAGCATTTGAACATCCAGCTACGACTGCTTTTTACAAAACTGACAGTGAGTGGCTAAATGAGCAGGAGTCAAAGAGAAGCCTGCACTAATGCAGATGATCACAAACGTAGACAATTTGAGCATATGCATGACGTTATGCAACTCACTCTGAGTTACGTAGTTTATCATTTTTGGACTTCTTGCTTTTCTTGTTTGAACTGCTTTTTTGCTTCATTTCAAATCACATAGTATTAGTTGAAATTAAATTTTCAGTATGTGGAACAAAAGCAAGAGCATTGAATGCTTTTGCAGCGTGCTCAATATAATCTTGGCAGTTGTTTTTGGCTCATTTCTCACTTTCTATTTTGGCAGGAGTTGGAGAGGCGTCTTAACCTCCAGGAGCAAGATATTGCCATTGTGAAGACTGTTAAGTCAGAGGTGGCCAGAGTTCCAGATCTGGAAAAGGAACTGAAGCGCCTCAGAGAGGATAATAGCTTTCTCAGGTCAAATACATTTTTTAATTTTTGCTGCATTTGGAGATAAGAAGTGTCTCCTTACTCTCTGTGTGGTTGGGACCTTTCAGTAGATATCCTGTTTTTTTTTTTTTTTCTAATGACCATAACCCGGAACAACTTTGTAGTTTTAAAAAAAATAAGAAAGAAACTTTATTTGTAATACCACAGAGCAGACAAGTGACTCTGCTAGTATTGCCACTGGGTTCTTCAAACATTACAGCATGTGTTTGGTTCAGTATTATGTGCATAATCTGGATGCTATCAAGCCCTAGTGTACATACAAGCACTGAAAGATGAAGTAGAAGAGGAGTCGGCCCGTGTATTAACTTAGACTAAATATTTGTCAGACTAAGTGCAGAAATGCAACAACTGATGTGTTTGTGCATAAATATTATCCAGTGTCAGCAGTACTCTGCTTACAGAAAACATCAGTTTAATACATCAAACTCTTTACTTTCTGAAGATAATGGATTAAGGATTCTGTAACTTGCTACTTGGTCATGGCAACCCTTGAAGAATTGAATAGTTTGCATAATAGTGGTATGAAACGCTGTTCCTTCCCTTTCTTCTTTCTTTTCTCTGCCTGATCCCATTTTAGAGAGAAACTGTGTAAACTGGGATTTAAGTGTGATCAGATTACTGCACCAATGTGTTATCTAGCGTAACACCTTAACCCAATTATTTACAATATCTGTTTTTTGCTTGTGTAGGAAGTCACTGTAAGTATAATGAAAACAGGTTTTTAAAATTAACATCAATGTAAATGTGGCGAGGTATTAAAAGTATGCCATCAGACATCAGAATCTGAGTTCCATGTTAAATTTCTGCTTTTTGTCTTTGTCCAGGGAGAGTAGAGAGAACTGCAGCCTGTTGAAGGAGGAGGTGGAGGGATTACGGAGGAAGCTGGAGAGGATGGAGAAAACCAAAGAAGAGCTGGTTAATATGGAACTGGAGAAAGAGGTGAACTGTGTGCAATTGTGGGTTGTGCATTTTCCTGTACTAGCATTTTAATATTCACTTGCACGTAGTTTAAAGATAGAGTACAGCAGGACTTCTACACATCAATGAAAATTTGTTAAATTTAAGCCTTTGCCAACAAATACGCACAAGGACGATTAAACCTTTCAGCGCAGTCTCTTGGTGTTCTTTCTTCAAATCCAGTATCTGTGTGGAAATTCCTGTGCTGCTGCACCCATAGAAAAGAAACTCATTGTTCATTAAAGCCTAACTGATATATACAGGTAGAATTATTGGATTGTATTTTTGCTGATTTATTGGACATACAGGCAGAATGTGTCCTAGTCTGCATCTTTATGTAGTTTGACTTTGTTTTGACTCGCCTTTTCAGTATTTTTGTTGTTGGTCTTTTCTTCTAATCTCCTGTGAAGTTTTTCTTTCCAAGTTTTCTGTTACCTTCTACATTTATTGTGCAACCGGTTTTTAATGTTGTCATTGCTTTTTAATAAACAAATTTGAGTAATAATATTTAAAATAGTAGAATAGAATATTGTCTTGTGTAGTATAATTGTTTTTACTCTATGTATTGATGTGCTTATCTTCCTTCATGAGGACATATTGGTGTTTATTGTTCTCTGCACTTGAGTGCGAGCATAATATCTCCATTAACTTCTTGTATATGGACAAACACTTTGCCTGTTGTTTCATCAATACTGTAGAGGCTTGCTGAGAAGCTCCAAGCCTGGGAAAACCTCGGCCAGTCTACTGGACTCAACATAAGGTCAGACACTGTATGAAAGTGCGTATGACTGTGTGTCAGAGAAAAAAAGAAGTACTTCAGAAGATTTTGTTTATTTTTTTTGTCACATATTTAATGAAATATAAAGAGGTGCCACTAGGTGGCGCTGTGGTCACTCCAGATAAATGTGCCTCATCATTGTGGATTGATTCCACCAGTGTGTATAGCTGTCTGTTTGTTTTGTACCTGCTTGTGAGTGTGTGTGTGTCTCAGTGCATTCACTCAAAACTGGTAATGAGAGAATGATTGCATGTTTCCTTGTGAGCAGTGGAGCACATCTGACAGATTATAAACATTGCAGACCTGTTCATTGCATGCATGCATGCTCACGCGCACGCACGTACACTCACCATTTTCTTTGTGATTAACTGTGGCTGTGAAGTCAACAGAATGTTTAATGAAACACATGCACACTGCGTATCCAGTTTGTTTTATATCATGTGTGTGTATGAAAGTGTGTATAAAATGCGTTAGCCATTTCTACTGGGTGAAAAGAAAAAGCTAGATGTCAACACTTAATAAATGACCAAATAAAGTGACATTTTCCTCATGTAAGGCTTCGTTTTAGTGTTATGTAATGTGTTGTGGGACCTGACATTGTTAAATTTACAGGTATTAAAAGATTTGGGAGTATCAAGGAGTGTAATACCAACCTCCTTTAATATATACAGTAATTTAGTTGGGCTGTCCATCATTTTTCTGAAAAATCTAAGTCCAGCTCAGCTGTCATCCTCGGTAAATTGAGTTGAAATTTGAAAACCATTTCCAAAATTCAGGTGTTCAGACTTCCATGTCATGCTGCCTGAGTGCAGTTGATTTTAAAAAAATCAATAAAAATATTGCACATCCAGCTGCAAAAGGACAGCCGTACCACGTGAGGCTCATACTGATCAAAAGTGAAGGTTAATGCAGCCTGCAAATCTACATTTAGAAACTGCTTTAAGCTGTTTTTGCTGTTTACTAAATGTCCAAATTAATTGTCAAGAGGGTCAGGATGTTATTTTCCCAAAACACTCCTGTGATGTGGAGGCAAATGGAAGTAAGCGTGTTTCATTCAGCAATTTGTTCACCTTTATTGCACTCGGTGCAACAGTGCTGTGTGAAAATTAGTATTGACGTGGATTTGTGCATTAGTGGGATATTGTGATTGCCTTGTAAGCTATTAAACAGCCATTATTTCATAATTTTACTCTGCTGAATCTTGTCAGGCATATAATTGTCAAAGTTTTTATGAGGAACTTTAAGAATCAGAATAAATGAAACTGGATCTGGAGTTATGTTGTACTTTTCTTGTAGTTAAAAATGATGTGCAAGTTTTAGAAGAAAGGGAAATTGATGACACTGCAGTGACAGAATGTAGAAGATAATATCGCATAGCAATCAGTAATGTAACAGTGTTAGAATTAATGCTGACATCAAAACAAAGCTGCCTGTTTAGGGCGCTTCTTGTTCTGTCATTAAATATGAAATATCGTGAAAGAGCTGCAGAGTTTTGGCACACTCGCATGCATTTGTGTTAGTTTGTTCATTGTGTTGGCAACAACGTCATTTTTCATAACTCCGAGCTACTGAGACTTTATTTATTGTTTCACTTTAGTTTTCATAATGTAACTTTTTCTGTCACTAAGCATTTCAGGATGACCATTAGTGGTCTGAAAAGAATACGTACTAAAGCAGTTGTTAATGAGGAGTAAACACATCATGTTGGAGTTTAAGACATTGTCTCCTGCAAACCAGGATTTCATTTCTTTCCAGCCATTTTGCTGTTTTGCCAAAAAAAAAAAAGTATTGGACAGAAGAGAACCGTCCGAGACAACAATGAGCGTTGCTGCATGGTGAAGTAGACAAGCCTCAAAGCCGCAGCTTGAATTTGCCAGCAGTTGGCCGGTTGCTACAAGTCATTTCCTTTCTCTCCGTTACATGGTTCGATAACATTGTGGCTGCTTACGTGTGTGTGCATGTGGCTGACAATTGGAAACTGACAGACATAGAAAATGAAAATATTCCTTAAAATTAGGCTGTTTAAGGATGGGAAGGTTTTCCAGAAATGATTTTTCTTTTCAGTGACATTTTCACCAGACAAGGACAGAACTGAGACAGTTCGCTGCATGTGGGTCTAAAGTCACTACCGGAGGAAAGTTTTGACTCATAGATGGTGTGTTGGATTGTACTCAGTAGTTCACGCAGAAACACAAGTGCTTATGTGTGTGTGTGTGTGTGTGTGTGTGTGTGTGTGTTTTATGCGTATCATAATGCTCTTCCCCACAAGTATGTTGATGTACTTGATGCAGTTCCCCATGGATTTAGACTTTCTTTTTGTCTCCTCTGTTCCCATGATTCCCAAGTTAAAGGATTTGTCTTACATTATGCAAAAGACAGTCAGAGATTTTCCTCAATTTGCTCTGCTGCTAAATGATCATACACTGCAGTCGGTTTACATCTGTCTAGTCTCTCGTTATTGCTTTCTGAAAACACCAAAGAATAATAATTTCTCAGCAGGTTTAACATTCAGTTAGGCATCAAAATAATTTAATGCTAAGCAATGATAGGTATCAAACCCATACGATACTTTTTATACAGTGACTCACTATTTTTTGACCTTTTTATATGGAGTAAAACATCTGTCAAATAATCTGAATAGAATTAACAGACTTATTGATAGTTGCCAGTTGCCCTCCTAGTATGTGCAGGTCTCGTGTCAGCTGAGTTTAATTGTGTGTGCTGGGAAACATATTTGATAACGATGTACCCATTTCTGCTCTGATTTTGTGTTCACTTCACTGTGTAAGTTACAGTTAAGAAATTTCAGCTTTGCCTTTTCACCCAGCACAAACCGTATCTCCCTGCTATGCAAGTATGTTAGAGGAGTGTGTGTATAAATATTGTAGAAAACATAAAAATTGCATGTAACATGAGGTTTATCTATAAATGGCTTTGAACTCTTAAGCGTCAAATAGAAGTAAAAAAAAAAAAAGACCTGTTTCTCTGAAAACACATGAACAGCGGTAAGAGTTTGCTTGTATTTGGGTTATTCAGTGTTTTATAAAACTGAGTCGCAGCACTTTTAACAAGGTTTTAGGCTAAACGCTGGTGTTACTCACTCCCCTTCCTATTCACTTAAGGGAGAGTTTTAAACTAGGCTTGCAGTGAACTCGCAGCACCCTGACAGTGCATTTAATTTTCATGGCGTCACACCTCGTAGTCGTTCACGATGTCTCACCCAATAATATGCAACCAACCTGTTACTTGCATCATCAACGGAGATGACTGGCTCGTTGCCTGCAAAGCAAAACGGAAGGAAAAAAAAACCCAGCAGAGGACAGAAAAACTGCCTGTTGTGTAATCTCAGGAGGTGGTTAATCCTTCTGTGCTCAGTGCAATGTGGAATTACCTACTTTGGGTAGCATAATTAGTCCATCATATGATTCACAAACTCATATTTTAGTCATGAGATTATTTCTATATTTAAAAATCTACCTAGCTAAGTGGAAGTGGCTTTAAATCCACACCAGCCGACTTTCACATGACATACCTTGCTTTCCGGCCTTGAGGTTAACCTCGACCGCTCGTGGCCTTTTCCTTCCATACGCCTTAATTGACAGGAGACTTGGTAGATTGCCTCGTGTTTGAGTACAAGACCAGATCAGGTCTTATGCTGCCACTGACGGTCTTTGGTGAAATGTGAAGTTCAGTAACATGTTTGATTTTTGTAATGGAAGAAAAGCAATGTTTGACTAACCTGTATGTTGAAAGTTTATGGCCTCAACATTTTTAACTCATAACGTTGACTTGCTCTGATATAGCTGTGTAATTTGGTCTAAAGGTGGCAGCAAAAGTAGGCTTTAGAGTGAAATCCTCCTAACTTGTCGCCATTTCACCAGAGATAAAGACATAATGGCATTAGTGTTTTGGACAGATCCATACTTACACACAGGCCTTAGAGTTTGGAGGGCGTTTAGTGCATCCCAGATGAAATGTGAGACCGACTGCATTGTTATCTTACCATTATGTGTTTGTGTGTGTGTCGTGTAACCTGTCAATCTCTCCCACGGAGTGAGTTTGTTTTGTAGAACGGTGACCACTATTTAGCCTACTATCCTCCTCTCATCTCTCCCTCTGCTGCTCGTGTCATTTTACTTCGCAGCTCCCCACTGGCTAACAAACAAAGGAATATGGAAACGCTGTCGTTTCCATCTATTCTGTCCTTTCTGCTTTCTCAGTTGTATTGATTTTTCATTGTGTGTGTCTGTGAGTGTCTGTGTGTGTACACATGTGTATCCTAACTGTTCTGTGCTGTGTCTGTCTGTAGGAAACCAGAGGATCTGTCCAGGGAGGTGATTCAGATCCAGCAGAGAGAAATTGCTCTGAAAGAGCAGAACTACACGCTCAACAGCCGGTAACACACACTTTCTCACAAAATCCTTTTCTCTCCCTTCAGACCTATTTCTCTCATTTTGTCTGCCTGCATGCCTCTCCCCCCCATGTATCTATTAGAGCATATCTCTGAGAAGTCCTTAATTGTCACAAAGTTAATTAAACTGGTCCTGATTCTGATAGCACTCCTGACAGTAACCACTGGTGTGTGTGAGTGTATGTGAGAGAGATTGTGAGTACGAGAGAGGGAATTCACTAATTAAACTTGTCCTGTTTAGACAGAGGTGATGTCTATAGGGAGGGCTACGCGCATGCTCTGGTATATTCATGCTGCAGCTCAGTCCAGCTAAGAAAGCTTTCATTAGCTAACAAGCGTTTCTCTTCTGCTCAGCGTATTGGGCTCATTATGAAATATTAGAAACAGCAGAATGGGAGAGTGGTGGGTGTGGGGAGGGGATGGCGAAGGGAGCTTACGGTGTAATAATTGCCCCTCGGTATAATTATTGTCCTATTGATCAGACCTGGCACAAATTTTCTGCTGCAAATAGTTTCTAGACACTTGTCTAGGAATTATGTGGTGTCAGTCAGGTAAGTTGTAGGGAGTATTATTCTAAATTGACTATGAATTGCTTTTCTCAGATTGTCTGAAAATTCAGCACTAATCAACTCATTTCCCCCTTCGCCTGCCCTCTCTCACCCCTGTTATTAACATGCATGCACACAATTGCTTCCCACCTATTCATTTTTCCTGCAGAGTGAGGAGTGTGGAGCGCTCGCAGTCTGAGCTTCGTGCAGAGCTGACCCAGCAGCGCAGCAAGACTCTGGAGGAGCAGAAGAAGAGAGAGACACAGGATGCGCTCGTCCGTCGACTACAGAAGCGAGTGCTGTTGCTAACCAAGGTACCTGGTGATCAAAGCAACGCATACACTCAAACACAGACAGATCAGCAAATATCCCTACCTTCACATCACTTTTCAACCATCACCCAACACCAGACTTTTGCTTTAAACTCTCAGGGAACACAGTAGAGGCTCAAGGCCAGAACAGAATCCTTGATCTCGCCTTTGCCCTTCTCTCATGCTAATTGGCCAACAGATGTCATGTGACTTTTCTGTCTGTCTGTCTTGCTTCCCCCCTGCTCTGCATTTCTGGACTAGACCTCCCTGGGATATTGATTTCTCAGTGTGTAATTCCCGAGGTCATCATGCTCAGTCTGTTAATACACAAATCACACACACCCGTAAGTAGGCAGGGTTAAAGGCAGGCTTTAAATATGATTTGACCGAAGAATGTCATGGCAGAGTCTGCATTCAGTCATTTGCCCAAGTATTCAGAGGATGTGAAAATTAATTGTTTAACATCGAGTTGCAGTGTACTTTGAAAAATATGTGTTACACTGGGTTTTTAAATACTTTGACTCTTTCATTCATGCAGACATAGTTGCTTAACGTTTTGTTTCCAACCAGCCAAATATTCATAAAGTTCAATTACCTTAATGACTTTAGTCTAATTATGTTATTGCCTCTCACCCAACCATATCGTCAACAGCCCAACTTTATTTCGTAAGCTATGAATAATTTCTCTTGGGTTCATTTTGTGTATTACCAGGAAAACTACAGCATACTCATAGATCAGATATGGAATGAATGAAACCAGTCAGTGTTTTTTTATTATTAATATTATTATTATTATTATTGTTATTACGGCATCAAGAACAAATATATTCCAACTTTAACTGCTGTTACTTTCTGACTAAAATAACCTTTTAGTGCCATTTTTTTAGTGCCAGCTTAATTTAATGTAGGTATTTTCTACATGGTGCAACAGCAAGTGCCCCTCCACTTAAAAGCGTGTTGTGGTTAATGGTGCTTCTCTCGGGTGTTTGTCCTTCACTGCGCAGAGCGATGTAGTGTGTTCAGAGTTTGACTTTGCTCAGATTACTCTGCTTAAAGTTGAAACTTTCCTTGAACTCCTCTGAAGTCTGAGTTTAAGATGTTCACTTGCAAACTTCATTTGTAGCATCACAACTAGTCAAGAAGCCAGTCTGGGTCAAATAGGTAACGAAGACAAGTGTGATATGGAAACCTACACGCACATATGTCATTTGAAGAACGTCTGAATAGGTAGCCATTTTTTAGGAGAGAAAAATGCATCAGGCACAAATTGTTATTCAGGGCAGAGTATTATTTTTTTTTAACGTACCGTCGAACATGCCTGGAGGGATCTTAAATAAGTTCAATATCATCCAGCTTTACCAAGAAAACAAACAGAGGAAGAAGAAAAGCAGGAGCAAATCCTCACAGTTCCTGAACCCGGAAAGTACCTGGTATTTGTGACTGACAAATTGTGAATGTTAGTTGTGAGTTCATTTTGTATTGATCAACTACCCAGCTAATCAATTAATTGTTTGACATCTAAAATGTGCCGATCTTTGTCTCCTTCTTTCACTTATAGAAGTGACTATATAGTGTGTACTGGTTCATAATGGCCTTGCTCTGCTGCCCTTAGACAATGGAAGATGGAAAGAAGAGAACAAATTTCATTTCTTGCACACATTGGTTTCTTTCTCTGTTTCCAGTGACATGAATCTCTGTCTTTGCGTCTCCTTTAAGCTACCAGCGGTGGCCTACTCACGTATTTTGTTTCTCATATGCTTTTGTGGGACAGAGTCGCTGACCCATTAGAGGCACAGCCACAGCTTCACGCACTAGATAAAACAGTTGACACAAAAGCAATTTAAAAAAAAAAAATAGATGATGAATAGAGTAATGATAGTTTTATCACTCTGTCCTCCTGCTCGCTGTTTGTTTGTGTGTTTTTAAATTGACAGTTTTTTATCAGAGAGAAGCTGACAGATTTTTGATTAAGATTGAGTGAATTTCTTCACACGTTAATAGACTGTAAACAGCCAAAGGGCCTACTGGTTAGCATTGAGAGCAAACACATACACATTGACCTCTAAATGTATTTGTACCTTTTTGTATTTACTTCGATTTATTCTGTCCTCCTGTTTGTTTCCTTCTTCTCTCCTTTCCAAGGAGGATCTCACTAAATGTATTTAGGCAGTTGTGTAATGTCGCATGACAAATGACACCGCTCTGGTGCCAAAACAAATAATGTTGAGTTAAGTATTTATTTATTTATTTACTCCTTTTCTTTTTTTTTTTTTTTTTTTTTTTTAATGAACCCGATGGCTTGATCTGACTAACCACAGGCTGACTCTGATTAGTGTTTTCACGATTTGTTTTCAGATTTAAGCTAGTGAGCTAATGTGACAGGACAATTGCAGCCCACTGAAAGGAATTTACATCCAGACATTTAAGGGTGCTTTTCAGCCTATCTCAAAAGGCAACACTACTTGGTAATCAACAAATATAACACGTCAGTATCTGGCCTGGTTAATTATTTCTGGTATTTATTGCTTGACTTGAGTCTGAATTTCATACGCTTTCCCAAATTAGCCCCACTAATGATCGATGATTGAGCTTTCAGTGACCGTCAAAAGTCAAGGATGGTCCTGAGCAGCCTGGCTGTTTTGTGAGATGCTTATTAAAAGCCTGATTGCCACAAAATGCCACCTGCTTTGCTTTATAATACAGAGTGGACTGGCGCAGTGAAGGGAGGGGAGGGGATGCATCATTTTAACAGTCTTGACTGACAGTGAATTTGCATTAATAAACGGGCCGTTTGCCAGGTTTTAAACAGATTAGATTGTTCTCACTCACCATGGTACCTGGCAATCTCTACAGATTTACACTGTTCTGCGAACCGAATGTAGTAATCATTCATTATTGCTATAAGCCAAAATGTTCTGTCAGCTAAAATTATCTGTGTTCATTGCTAAATATCATTTCCAGTGTCACAAATGCCTAAACCAGAACTGATGCTATTAAAAATGCAGTTTAAGTTTGCTGCACGAGATAATGCTCAACAAGCTGGTTAAACAAAAGTGTCCGCTTCTATCAGTTCAGTTGACAACTCTGTGCATTACTTTCACTTTCTCTCCGAGTATCCTAATCAAACATTACATTTGTCACAATTGTGATCATTCACAGTGGTCGGTGAGTGCAGACGAGTTGAGGAGGCTGAAACGGACCATTGGTTAAGACAGTATGATGATTTAGAGGTAGTTGCAGGGCCCACGTCTGCTGCTTTGCTGTGCCGTGTGAATGGAAATTAACAGACCATTTCCACTTAGTCTCTTCTTGCTCCATCAATCTCAGTCATGCACACTCCTTTCTTTTGACAGCTTGTATTTTGTAATAAGTTCAGGAAAATGCCTGACTTCTCTGTAAGAGTTTTGATGCTTTGTTTTTTAAAAATGCAGTGCACCAGGACATGCGTGTGAAAAATGAGCTTATACTCACAAACATCTGCTGTACAGTCATAGGCTGACCGATTCCTGAGGTATTTGGAGACAGCGTGTCGGTCCCAGTGATCTTGTGAAGATGTTGGCTGAAGAGGGTTTTATTGTGCTGATTTACTGGACAGTACAGTGTTGCAGGCATTGTGTGACTCCACATGTTTAGATTTTTTTAATAACCTCATCACATCTAGGATAAGAGAGATGAAGCAGCATAAAATTATATGCTTCATTTGCAATTAAAAAAGAAAGAAAGAAAAAAAAAAAGCATTTCTCTCTCATGACTCTTTTCATTTTTGGACTTTTTCGTATCCTCTGTCTACAAAGACATTTGTCTTTGATTTGATTATTTCAGAAGGAGAAATGCAGATGAGCACAACCATAACCCTAAGCTTCTCTTGTCACAGCTTGGATAAGACAGACACAGCTGCCTCATACTGTGTTTCTCACGTACATAGTCATTTGCCAGTCATATTACCACACCAAACAGTCATGCAGAAGTAAAAAAAGATAAATTAGAGAAACACCAAAAAGCTTCGATATTCTCAGTTTTTTCCATACACAACCGTTGCATATTTGATATCACAAAATGTTGTAATGTCACGACTTTCTTTCTTGCCTGAATGGAAGTTTGTTCGGTATACGACAGGGTTTTCATTTTATAATGTCATGTTAATGTGTATGTATTTGTGTTCCAGGAGCGTGATGGAATGCGTGCCATACTAGAGTCCTATGACAGCGAGCTGGCGCCTACTGAGTACTCTCCTCAGCTCAACAAACGACTCAGAGAGGCAGAGGACATACTGCAGAAAACACAAAGCTACAATGCAGAGATGGAGGTGTGCACACACAAACACACACTTTTATTGGGTTGTACTTTATGTGATGAGCCAAGTTTCCCGTTTTCAAAGCAAACTTAAAAAACATGACTGATCTGTACTCCTTTAAGCAGCTGACCAGTTTAGTATGCATGCTATTTAGTGACACTTTGCTCATAGTGAGGCACCAGAAACGCATATTACTCAGCTTCAGCTGCTCTTTGTCTACATGCTCTTGCTCACTGGACAAATTGATAAATGTCTACATTGAAAACTGATGAATGGGAGACACAGGGATGTCTGCTAGTGTCCACCCTCTGTTCTCCTTACCTACTCTTTATGTCAGTACTCTACATATGCAGGGAAGTTTTCATTTTTTGTGTCACTTTACTATTATTTTTCTCTACTCTGTCCTTTCAATTCAGGGCCAGCTGACCAAAGCACAGGAGGAGACAGGAGCACTTAAACTGCAGCTACAAACAGTAAGTAAACATGCACACACACATACCCATGCTGGTTATTATTATTCTGTAGCGTACCATGGACTGTGATCAATGACATGACAGTTCCACAGAGCGAAATCCTCTTGTGCTGGAGACGTCATTTGCAACCACCGTCTGCCGGTAGTGACTGGGGTTAGAAACCAATATACTCAGGGGGGACGTAGCTGATAGCTAGCTAACTACTAGCATTTCCTAATCATTTTTATCTACAAATGATAAATGAGCATCCCAGACAGTCTAGACCAGGTGTTGGCAACCCGCGGCATGTGACTGTTTCACACCTCTGCTGCGGCTACTTGTGGCTTTGGAAAATAAATAATGAGTATTTTAATGTAAATGTATTTTATTTTAGTTTGTTAGTTTTTAAAATTTCATTCTAAATTTGAAGATTTTTGTGAACTTGTAACATTAAAATAAAACGTGTTTAGTTTTTTATCGCTCAAACTATGCGTCACAACCGCCGATGTGCGACACCAAATGGCACGCGCAGTGTTGCCAACTTGGTGACTTTCTCGCTAAATATGGTGACTTTCCAAAGCCTCTTGGCTACTTCTTTTTTTTTTTTTTTTTTTGGTCAAAAGCGACTCGTGACCAATCTAGCGACTCTTTCTGGTGTTTTGGAGACTCTGATTTGAAAACACGTATCGTTCTGCAGTTACTGTCCTCAGCGAGTAGTGGTGCTGCCGTGAGCTCCTCCGGGTCCCAAAATGCTCACAGGCGGTCTGGAGTCTGGTCAGCAGTGCCAGCTGCAGTCAGCAGGACAACCACACAGCATTTTGACTTTGCTGCAGGTGGATAATTTAAGATCAATTTTTTATTTCATATATACAAAGAGGATTCAAATTGACATTGAGTATTTTATTTCAAAATAACCTTCAACCCAGTGTCTTTTTTGTTTGTTTGTTTGTTTGTTTGGAGTTCAAAATGTTTTTGTTGCATGCAGAAATACAATTTTGTTTCCTCTGTAGCAGTTTATTGATTTCATAAATGCAACACACTATAGTTATTTTTATACATAGCATAAAGGTAAAGACGATATATGCAGTGTTATCTTCATTTTAGATGTAAAAGGGTTTTGTGGCTCCCGGTGGTTTCTTTTCCATGGGAAACGGGTCCAAATGGCTCTTGATTCTTGAGTGTTTAAGGTTGCCGACCCCTGGCCTAGACCTTACCTTGTGTGCCTACATTTGCATATCAATACCGCAGTTCCACTATATGGTTACCTCTGCTCAGGCTCTGGCTGCAAATGATGTTTGTCAGCATTAGATCGCAACACCCAATACTTCAGCTTAACTTTTGTACAGCTGGAGGACATAGTGACGTGTGGTCCATCTCTGTATACAATCTATTTGACATACAGACTTACTATATATTATGTTTCTCACATTGTTTAACGTATTTGCCAATAATTAACGTATTTCAATTGTACACCACCAGTCACTAAAAACTACAAATCAAGAAACACACATGCAAAAAAAAAATCCCTGTATAACACTTACTGAAGCACTTGAACTCTTACTTACTCCTTAATATTTGTCACATGATCACAGATATTCTAATCTCACCCATTAGCAGTTGTGCTGTTTCGGGGAACTTGTTTTGGTAATGGTTGTGATCCTGGAAGGTGCACAGTGAGTCTAGACAGGTCAAAACATCCTGTAGCATTTGTAGTATACAGAACAGTTTTATTGTTTATAAGAATGCGTTTTGACTTGTATGCTTGAGGGTATTAACCAGTGGAGTACCTACACTGATAGGCTGGGTATATGATCCTGTGCCTTCAAGCCAATCATTGTCCCAAACCACATA